GACACAAAATACAAATCCGGGTATGTTTTTGATGAGTTACAAACATTATAACATGGCTAAAAGCTCACAAGAGTCAATTTCAGGTAACATAGGACTTTAAGTTTGAAATGGATTGAAAGAAATTTGATTCATTTCAACATGGGGCATTTGTTAATAACATAATTATGGAGGTATTTGTAACTCAAATTCAACATAAATAGTCTATGCATTAGAGGCTACTTGTAATAATACACCATTTAGTATTAGCTTGAAGCAGAGGTGAGCACTTTCAAGTCGTGACTTGGACTCAAGTCAGACTTGAGTCACTATTTTTAGGACATGAGACTTCACTTGATAAAATGGATGAAGACTTGGGATTCGACTTGGACTTCTCATAAAAAATATATGTTTTTAGAAAATACGTTTCTCTTGACAGTTCATACACGTGTGATTTATTTTACAGGAACAAACTGGAGAATGTCCCTCCGACTTGTCTGTTTTTTACTTATTGTAACTGAAGTACTGTGAGATACTGAGACTGAGGTATTCTCAAATGTACTACAGTAATATACATTACAATACAGAGGGAACTACAGAAAATATGATCCTTCATGACAAAATATCTGTTATTTAGCACTTTTAAATCTTAATTCTTTCTATTCTGACCATAATGCTTCTCACTAAGATCTTGACAAGACATTTAAAAATGAAAAAAATGGCATTTCTAAAATTCTTATACAAAAACTCATATATAAATGTACCATTATTTTAAGCACAATTTAGTTTAAAATTCATATAAATTCCAAAAATCTAAGCTACATTTGGTATTTTGGTTTAAGGACTTGAAATGACTTGAAGCTCAAAGCAGACGACTTGGACTTGACTTGCACTTATGGGCTAGTGACTTAAGACTTGACTTGGACTTTCCTGTCTTTGACTTGGGACTTGGCTCAGACTTGAGGTCAAAGACTTGAGACTTACTTGAGACTTGCAAAATGATGACTTAGTCCCACCTCTGGCTGGAAGTCCATAAAACACAATCCAGATTGCATGAAGAGGTGGAATAAAGTGTTATAGTCATTCGACTTCCTGTTCTATGCAACATTTTGACAACTTTTTCCTCATTAAAAACATAGTAATGTGTTTTAAATTGTTAATTACCATAGCAACATTTCTACTTTTTTATCATCACATATGACACTAAGGCTAAGCTAGAAGATAAACACTGACTATACAAAATACAAAGTGGCTCTCAAAATGTCTCTTAGGTAATTAAAAAGTAAAATAAAATGGCTAATCTTAAGTAAAATCAAAAGCAATTCATTATTATGTAGAAAAGTTTTCATTTGTGATCATCTGGGCAATGTTTTTCCAGTCAAGATGTTTTGACTCCCATCCAGAAACCATTATCAGTTTTAATGATGTGACATTTGTGAGGCTCCTTATTGTGAAGTGTGGATCCAGATCTCATTTTTTTTAAAAGAAATGAATCTTTTTCTTTCCAGTTTTTATGCATGTTTATACTTATTAACGCTGACCCAATACAAGAATCAACAGAAGCAGAGTAAGCAACCCCAGTGAGAGCTTTGAGTTTTTCAAATGATTGCATTATATTGTTATTTTAGTGCAACGTTTTATTCAGAATTTCATACTTTCATTCGGTAAACACATTCCCACTCTCAGATTGAACCACTGTAAATAAATGCCTGGTCATGGTCATACGGCTTGCTCATATCTCTCTGTGATTAGTTTGTAGATAACCTCACATTGGCTTCTGCCATTTGACTAAATATAAAAAGAGCCAGTCTTTGGAACGGCTCTTTGACATGGACTGAACCATAAGATTCAGATCCCACAAAGCAGCTGAGAGTCCCATCACTATTCAGTTTGATGCTACTGTCTTGAGGCACTAGGAATTGATTCTACTCTGAGTCCAACCTCAAAGGGAGGAGTTTCAGCGTGACACTGCCCTTGTTTTCTCTTGCTGACATCCTTGTGACAGATTTTAATGGCTTGTTGTGGTCTTGTCCACGGGTTCTGAATACTTCTGTAAACAACTTGTAGATTAAAGGTCCGACTGTGTTGAGTATTACACTAAATTGAGTCTTGTGAGCTTTAAGCCATGTTAGAATGTTGTTCCCGCCTCAAAAAATACCTGGAGTTGTATTTTGTTTCATTCATGTTTGACTAATCCTTCATTATTAGTCTGTCTACATCTCCACAGCTCAAAATGTTCTGTTCCACCTTGTGATGTCATGTTTTTGTAGATTTCTTAACTTACTTTTACCAGAGTTTTCTGTTTGAAAGAAGAACTCAGTCTAATTCCGCTGGGTTTGTATGTTAAAACATGTGTGAATGAAACAAAACACAACTCCAGGTATATTTATGAAAAGGAAACAACATTATTATAACATAGAATTGAAAGTAGCTTGAAATGGTCCTTTAAGTCTCGCTCCATCTTAATTATTCTATTCGTCTATATGCTATAGTTTTAATTAGTGTCCATTATTATCCTTACAAAATTTGTTCTCATCACTTGATCCACTCAAGCAACTCAAAAGAAATAACAGTCTGATGATATGATTAATGGTGTGCAAAATATCAAACTATCGTTATATCGTGATACTAAATTTGGTTATACAGTATCGCTTTCGTTGGCTACTGTATCGATATATATAGCCAAGAACATTTTTTGGTGCCTTTTAGGTATTTTGTTAGCCTGATTTATCAGCCTGTTTCACTTTGTGGAAACCGTCTGACCTCGCAGCATTAGAATTAGTTTGCTCCATATAGGCGGGTACTTTTTTATTTAACCAATCACTGATATTTGTTCATGACATATGTAATGTGCCTCTAATGGGGTTAACTGGTAAATTAAGCTTTTCCCAAATCCCATAGGAAGAAGGGCAATAATGTCATTTCCCTTGATAAAATTCACCAAACATTCTCTTTGTTCCAGCTTTAAATCCTTGATCTAGAGAATCGTTGCCAACATAAAATGTATGACTGTTCGCTGATTGGCTGGACTTGCACGTTTGGGGTTCTTGCAAACCGTCTAGTGTATTTTGATTCCTGACCTAGTCGCTGGAGAGAAATGAAATTGAGTGGAGGCACTAGGTGGCGCCATCCTGGCTACTATTTTGTGTGACTGCACTACAATTTCTTTGCATTTTTATTAAAAGGAAAGCAATACACTTGATATATTCTCTGTTCTGATGATTAAAATAAAAGTATTTCATATTAACTTTGCATGTGTAGTGGTTTAATAAAGAAATATTTGTGTTAAAATATATTTGATTCTTAAAAAAAACAGAAATATATCACAGAATATAATATGCAATATATCCCTTTTCCCATGTATCACCATACTTTGATAATATTGTATCGTATTGTGAGGGACCTTGCGATTCCCAGCCCCAGATATGATATACACCTTTGTACAGCTTTGACTTTTTGACCCTCCTCTGGTGAAGACGGCAAACCTACCCATCCTGAATACAAATATATGTGTCAAGTGGTCCCATCCCAAAATTCATTGCTCCTGTCTGCTTATATTTTCTCCCTCTCCCAGGAGTCCTCACTGCAGGATTCCTCAATCTCTCCTCCAGGCTGTTCCTCCATGGCTCGGTTGGTGCTGGTTAGATCTCTGTGTCCAGGGAGTTCATGGATTGCCGCTTCTGAAAAGTGCTCTTTCTGTCAGGCCTAGAGCTGTATGACATGGTCCACTTCTCAGCCTCGAGTGTCTGTTCTGACCTGGCCCTCACTCAGCGTTTAACCTGAGAGCCATGACAGCTTAGACTAGCCGTTTCACTACCACATCATATTTAATACAAATCTGGACTTTTTAACGTTTTTATGTTGAGTTTATACATTTACTTCCTTTAGATGGAATTTTCTGTGTTAATGACGTAAACAAGGATTTCATTGTTTTTTAAATTAAGACATTTTTGTTGTCAACCTGAAGACATTTTCAGTCACATTGATAGAATACATGACATAATTAGGCCTATTTTAAAAATGTCCTATATTGATTCTTGTGAACTTTTAGCCTGTAATGTTGCCTCCTCAAAAACATATCTGCAGTTATGTTTTGTTTCATTCACACATGTTTGAGTAGTCTTTTATTATTAGTCTATCTACACCTAAAGCTCAAAATTCTATGCTCCACCTTGTGATGTCATGAAGTGGCAGTTTTCAAGCTACATCTACAGTACCTTTTACCTTTTGTTAAGGAGAGACTGACAATTTCAGGGTTGAAATTATCCAAAGGATTCGGGCGGCAGTAGCTCACTTGGTATAGCGTTTGTTTACTGATCCAAAGGTTGGCAGTTTGAATACTGCTCTCGACATAAACATAATTGGTTGTCCTTGGGCAAGACACTTAACCTATCTTGCCCCCGTGTCTGTGTACATTGGTGTGTGAATGGGTGAGTGGTTCCTTATTGTAAAGAGCTTTGAGTGCCTTCAAGGTGGAAAAGTACTGTATAAAAATGTGACCATTTACCATTACAGTAAAAGTGTTTGGAGTTTAAAAACACAGTGGAAAGTTTTCTGTATTACTACTTGACATCACAAGGCGGATCCGAGTGTTTTCAGTCTGAGAGAAGAACTAAATATAGTCTAAATATGCACAGTTTGCGTGTTAAACATGTGTGAGTGAAACAAAATACAACTTCAGGTATGTTTTTGATGAGGAAACATTATGACATAAATCAGAAAATGGTGAAAAATGTGCTCTTTAAAAGCAATAGTACAGTGCATTTGTTTATTTATTTGTTTGTTTATTCTTTTGGACTATCCATTAAACCAAACTGCTTCGAGGCTCTCACACTTGTTTCATGCGCTGATACCACAGAGCACGTGCTGTTGTTTTGTCTTCTCCTGACAAAACAGACATAAACCAATTTACACTTTCTTTTTTCATGGCCCCAAAGGAGGAAGGCCCCCGTGACGTCAGGAGGAGCAGCTGTAGGCTCACATTGTTGTGCGCATGCGCTCTAACGCGTATTCGATCGCTGCTTTGTTGGGACCAGAGCTGCTGCGACTTTCTAACCGTCAGCTGTTCGTAGCAGGAGATTACGGGCATTACACGACATTTTTTGCAGCCTTGATAAAACACAGACGTGCGTAAGTTAACGTAGAGCGTGATTGTTTACGTTTTGACGCTTCCATCGACCAAAGACAGGATTTACAATATATAAACAAACGCTGCGAACTGCTTTTAAGGTGGCACGTCATCCGTCTCCAACCGCATCAAGATCATCGTCCAATTTCTCTAAACTAACTTCGTATAGCTCGCAGTGACAGCAATGGATCTACGTGTACCACCTCACTAGGAGTCAATCTCCCAAACATTTGCGTGTGAACATGATAGAGGAGGACAGTTTGTTGTCAGGAAGGCAGCCCATGGCAAGTGGAGGAGGAGGGCTCGGACATCCCAACTCGGCCGAACAGAAAGTAGCCCTTACCTACCCCCAGCAGGTCGAGATCGGGCATCCTGGTCATCTCCCCGGGTCTCACTAGTGCAAAACAACTCGCCTTGTAATGGAGACCGTGGGAAAATTCGAGTTCAGTCGAAAGGACTTGATCGGACATGGCGCATTTGCTGTCGTATTCAAAGGCAGGCATAAAGAGGTACGATTGCATATATTTCAAACTATAAAGCTATATAAATCTTCTGTATAGAGATATAAGATGTATAAGCAGCAAAATGTCTAACTGTTTAACTTGGATCGTTTTATTTTGACCCCGAATCATGCAAGCTATACCTTCCAGTGTTTTGTTTTCATGGTACGCCCTTAAGAGAAGAGGCCTAGCATACTGTACGTGCATTTAGCCTCCAGACAACCCCCCATATAATCAAAAAGCATGGAAAAAGATCAGCCTAACGCATGCATATGTACTGTTTTTATCTTTTAAGCTCTATTCTGCAAAAGCTTTAGTTACAGTTTAGATTTTAGCATTGAAATCGAGAGATGCTAGCTGTTGTGAACATGTAATAACTTGTCCCTAACCCGAGAATACCTGTATGAAACAATATGGGAATCACTGTAATCATACATTGTCACTATAGATGGAAAACTGCGATAAATCTCTTTTTTTTGTACAAAATAAGCCACACCTATCACAGCACCATGATCCTAAATATTTGTTTATGCAAAGTCCTAAATTATGGGGGAAATTATGCATCCACATCAACTGTGTAAACAGGTTGAACTTAATAACCATTCCCCAGGCTCATTACGATTTTTTTCCCTTTAAAGTTGCCAAATGATGTAGAATTTAATTTAGTCCTCCTGGTGTCTACATAGAGCAAGCTGTTTACACCTTCCAGTCCGCAGTTAAAACTAAGGGTGTGCTAAAAATGTTTACAAATTTGGTGATGTAGTAATTGTATTGTGGGTAGACTTAGACTAAGACAGATTTTATTGATCCACAAGGGAAATCACTTGGACACAGTAGCTCACATATATAGATATAAGACATAAATTACATAAATGTATGTACTGTAAGTATAATTTTGATATATTTTGCAAACTTATTTATTGATAATGCTACAACTTAGTTTCTTGTTTAGAAAAACGGAACATAGTTAATGTTATAGAATTTCTATATTTACTGTTTTGATTAATAAAATTAGCGTATTTCCTATTAAGTTTGTGCAGGTAATGGTTTGACAAACATATATCATTGTTAAAATGTATTTGAGTCTTAAAATATAGTGATATTGTAGAAAATCACGTGCAATAGGCTCGATCAGGATAATATTGTGTACTGAGTCATATATTGTGCATTGTTTAGTGAAGGACCATGTGACTCCCAGCTATAGTTGAAACAGATTAAAGGTCCTATGTTACACAAAGTTGACTTTTGTCAGCTTTAAGTCATGTTAGAATGTTGTTACCTCCTTGAAAACATACCTGGAGTTGTTTTGTTTCACTCACACATTTTTGAATAATCCTTTGTTATTGCTCTGTCTACATCTCCAAGTTAAAATGCTCTGTTCCGCCTTCTGATGTTGTTAAGTGGTAATTTTCTACTTAACAGCTAGCTTTTACTTTTAGTTCAGTAGAGATTGGCAATACGAGGGCTGAAATTATTCAAATGATTCTAATGAAAGTGTATGGAGTTTAATAACACAATGGAGCACTTCCTGTATTACCACATGACTTCACAAGGTTGAACAGAGTGTTTTCTATTTGAGGGAAAAACATAGCCTATGCAGAATTTCCGTGTTAAACATGTGTGAATGAAACAAAACACAACTCTGGGTATTTTTTTGATGAGGACCCAACATTATAACAGAAAATAATGTAATATAGGTCTTTTAAGAAATACTCGCTTTGATTGGGAATGTACATAAATACTTGTTATTTGTTACCTAAAGAACCATATTTTGATTTTTCCTTATTTTGCAGAAACACGACTGGGAAGTGGCAGTCAAATGCATCAACAAAAAGAACTTGGCAAAATCCCAGACACTGTTGGGCAAAGAGATCAAAATTCTCAAGGTAAGCACAAATCATGCACCTGATACATAAACAAGAGTTCTGAATATTTTTTTAACTTTAAACATAACACTATCATTATATCTCTTTTGCTTTGTATTTGATATTTGATACTTTCCAAATGCTCAGCCCTACAATATTGATGCTAACAAAGTGCTGATTTTGACATTATTTAAAGGTGCAGTAATAAAACACTGCCTTTTTCCTGTCTGAAAATATATCTAGACAGAAATGTGATAAGTGAATTGATCTGCTCTCAGACACAGACTTTGTGCTTTTTTTCTGACAGGAACTTAAACATGAGAACATCGTTGCGTTACTGGACTTTCAGGTATGGTAAAGTAACGCACCCAGAGCTTGTCTGTCCTCATGTAATATCCTGTTATGAAACTTCACATTTTCTTTTTGTTTTGTTTACATTCTGTTTCAATTCATGTGGCTCCTCCTCGCTATTTATCTTTTACCACAACAACAGGTTTGCAACTCCAGTCAAGCCCGTATTTTCAGATGATTGAGGTGACAGTTATAGACTGATTGGTAAATATTATACTCAGAGTTTTAACCATAATTGATAGTTTCATTTTATTATTGCTTTCTTCTTGCGTTATTCAAGCCAAATAGTTTAGATTTCAACCAAAATAACTTCCATATCTGTGTGATTTAGATATAAAAAGAAGTTAACAGAGTTTTATGTTGCAAATTTCTGGTCTGTCTAGCTGAAGAGGGCATCAAAGTTAGGTTAGGTTAAAGTACATATTAGTGTCCTCATTGGGCGATTTGTCTGCATTTGAGCCATCCTTCAATGCCGCTGGGGCATGGACAGGGAACCCATAGCCATGATCTTGTTGGTAGGTTTGGTCAGGAGTACCATAGTGGCAGGATTGTATCTCTATAGTGCATGTTTTGAGTTATCTTAAAGGTGTAACTTTTTGAATGGAGGTCCATCACCTGGTATTTATATGGATATGTCATTGCTCTGCCTGGAATGTTCCAAAGTATGACATTAAACACCTCACCAACCTTACATTTAGTCAATTACAGGTTGTTGTATAGCCCCAAAAATTTGCTGGAAAAACAGGCACTCTGACTGTGAGCAGGATTGCTTCTCTCCAGATCTGCCCTTTAACTTGGTCTGGTGTGGTTTCCATGACGATAGACAGGTTTAATACCATATTGTGAAACATTACAAGTTACACAATACACCAATTAACTGTAACAACTTAAACTTTGTCCCAGTTAGTACATTTTGTCCATTAGGTAGGTACTATAAAAATGCCTACATACAGTTTTCATGATATCTGAAGTTTTGTTTTATGATTATTGTGAGAAGAAACATCACAATTTTACAACTATTCACAATTATTGACACCATGACCAAACAAAATGCTTAATTATCTCCTTCACATTCCCTAATATCTTGCTTTATAAAATCGGATGTTCTGGGTAAATGTATATGCATATTGATCATTTTATCTGCTTGAGCTACTGTCTCCAAATAATTTCCCTTGTGGATCAATAAAGTTTGTCTGTCCATGGTGATACTATTGCCTGGGATGTTCCACCTCACAAATATACTCAAATATATCTTGTATTTATTCAATTACAGATGTTTTTATTTCTTAAAACTATCACAAAAACAGTGAGCAGGTCCACTTCTCAACAGATCTCACTTGTAAATTGGCCTGGTCATGTGGGCTGCTTGTTTCCATGGATAATTAAATGAAATGTCATACTCTGGAACATTTCAACAAGGAGTCAACTAAGTGGCGGACCTCAACCACAACACCTTGAACTTAGAAATACAAAATTTTGCTTATAAAATTCTCACTCTTACTTGATTAACTATTAACATCCTTACCTGATAGCTGTATACATACCACCCAATTATATATGACATAGTTTATTACGTTTACGAGTGGACAAAGTATCGCCTGATTATGCTTTGTGTGTAAACTTGTTGCACTCCATGGCAACAGAGTTATCAGCGGGAGGCATGGTTTTACCTGCAGATTAGCAAATAGACTTTGACAACATCTGCGAGCCAGTTTAGACATCAGAGCTACCTGTGTGTGCCAAACAAACAGCCTTTTATTCAACCAGCTGCTCCTTTTGTCTTTGAGTCAGTGTATTTGCCACCTCAATAATGCAACCTGTCTTAGATTACCTCAGGGCTAAAATGAGGAAGACCATAATAACTAGCCAATATTCTCATGCCAGATTTGTGAGATGTGTTTTTGCCAATAATGAAAAAAGCACTGGCTTAAAGGGCCCATGTTATGCTGTTTTCTTATCTATGTTATAATGTTGTTTCTGCATTACAAACAGACCTGGAGTTGTGTTTTGTTTCATTCACACATGTTTAACCCTAGCCAGCCTGGTGCCACTTAGTGCCTCCGCTCAATTTCATTTCTCTCAAGCGACTAGGTCAGGAATCGGAATACATTAGACGGTTTGCAAAAACCCCAGAAGTGCGAGTTTGGGCACCAGCCAATCAGCGAAGAGCCATACATTCTGTGTTGTCAATGATTCTTGAGATCGAGGATTTAAAGCCGGAGCAAAAAGAATGTTTGGTGAATTTTATCAAGGGGAAAAATGCTATTGCCCTTCTTCCTACGCGATTTGGGGAAAGCTTAATATACCAGTTAGCCCCATTAGTGGCACATTATATACATCACGACCAAATAGCAGCGAGTGGTTAAATTTTAAAAAAGTATCCGTCTACCGTCGAGTGAACGAATGCTAACGCTGCAAGGTCAGATGATTTCTACGAAGTGAAACCGGCGGATGAATCAGGGTAGTTTAACACACAAATCCTGCATATTTAGGCTGAGTTCTTTTCTCAAACAGAAAACACTCTGTTCCACCTTGTGATGACATGTGGTAATACAGGAAATGCTCCACTGTGCTTTTAAACTCCATACACCTTCACTAGGATCATTTGGATAAATTCAACCCAGAATTGCCAATCTATACTGAACTTAAGTTAAAAGGTAGATGTTAACTTGAACTCTTCCACTTCATAACATCATAAGGTCAAACTGAGCATTTTGAGCTTTAGAGATGCAGACACTTTTATAATAAAGGATTACTGAAGTATGAAGTATGTGTGAATGAAGCAAAACAGTCCAGGAGTCCAGGAATGTTTTGTTGAGATAACAGCATTAAACCATTGCTTAAAGCTCAAAAGTGTCAACACTGTGTAATATAGGATTGTTCATTTTTGAGGTTTGTACTTATAAAAGTCCTTCCTCACTACAAACTATAGATTAGAGACAGGACAAATTTGCTCTTTGTAGTGATTGACTATCAGCCTTAAATCTCCAGCTCAGGATGATACTTTGTTTTGGCCGACCTGCTGCCTAAAAGGTACACAAAGTTTTATTTGAACGCTTTAGTGCGAAGAGATTACTGCACAAAACATGACTGCACCAGCATGACTACAGTGCTCTCTTATACATGTTTGGTAAAAAAAATAAAGGGCTGTGAGTGAGTTTATGGTAAATTTAAATAACAGAATATGTCGAAAATAATCAAAATCAAACCGTATATATCGGCCTAAAAATATCGTGAGAGCTGATCGGCCATCAGTCAACCTCTATTATGATGCACAAATATTCCCACTTTATTTGTGATTATTGTTTATGACCCAAATTTGTGAAAAAAAAAACTTACTAACTTCTACATTTCTGAATGATAAAGTAAAGTTAACCTGACATAAACAAAGAGACAAAGTACCGTTCTGGAGTATGCAGAAATCACAGATTTTTGCTTCTAAAAGTGATCATGATTATTACTTTTTTTTACATTTCTATTAACGGTATAATCTGTTCGCAGGGATGTATTGTTGACATCCCTGTGCAAACTGACATGGTGCTGTCATGTTGTCAGAAGTGTTAAGCTCTGTTGACTATGTAACTTATGTTCTCTTGACATGTCCCTGCCTTGTAACAAGCAAACCACAAACCACACGCCATCTATTCTTTTGTTATTCAAGCCAAATTGTCAGTTTCAGCCAAAATAACTTCCATATCTGTGTGGGAAAAAAATTAAAAGTGAAGATATGCCCCATGTCTCTAATGTAGTTCTATTGTTGCCAATTTTTTTGTCTGTCTAGCAATATGGAAGATTATAGATTTGTTCAATTGTCATTACCTTTTTCTGAATAATTCTTTTTAACATTCACTCTCACTTATAGCGTTTTGGCTTTATGACAAATCGTTGTGTACTGTTTGAATGAATGCAGTTAGCTATTCGCAAAGGCTGTAATTTAAGTACCATAATTTTCTCCACAAACAACAGAATATCCTGTCTTCTTCTGTGTAAAAACTGTTTGCAAGCCCTGTAGTTTAGATCTGTACAAGCATGTTCTGACATCTGACTTTTTTTTTGTTAGTTTGTTTTTTAATCACAATTGCAAAGCTTGTCAGAAAAATCGCAATTCAATATTTTACCCATTTTACAGCACTAGTGACAGACCTGTAAAAAATCACTTCTTTGGTTGCCGTATTCTATGCTACGTACTTGGGTGAACTGACAGATAATAATGTGCAATCAGGGTAAAATTTTAGGTGGAAAAACCCACTATTGATTGAGTCATTATTACATCATACAGTGGACAGTGATAATCTAAAGTCAGGTTGAGTTTCTAGGTGTGTTGACAGTGGACTCTGCTATCTGTTGTCTAATTAGGTCAGTGTGAAATAGAAACCATGACAAACATTTGACCTTTTCACCTTTCTGTTCTAAATAATGCTGCGCGGCCCTGGTCATGGTGGACGCTCTGTCTGTACTTTTCACCAGATCATTATTTCGATTTCAAAATGGCACTTAAATTAGGTTTCATGTTTCTAAAACCTAACCACCAACCATTTTCTTTAAAGACCTCAGCAGGAACAGTCGTTACCCAATGTGAGTCATTTGCCGAACTTGCATCAGTCATGCTAGTTTGACTTTATTTGCATTATTTTACTCATCAGTTATCCACTCTTTTGAAGATAGTGAGGTACAGATCTTAACCAGAGAAAAGAATTGGTTTGAGAAAGGAGTTAAAGAGGCTATTTTTGTTAGGAAAAACAATCCATCCTTGAACAGAAATGGAGGCTTCAGACATCTCCCATTTGCAACTCCATTCTCAGACCTAAATCAAAAGAAATAAAACAAAAGGGATAGTGCAGATCAGGCTGAGAGGTGTGAAAACACCCATTATGGGACTGAATGATTCCTCTAATATGATCCCACAGTCAGTGCAGTTCAATAGGCCTAGCTAACAAACAGAAATTGTTAAACTAATAGGTGTGTTAGTTTCAAAGTAGTTTCAGTGTAGTTAGCTTCTCTTTTCAGGCAGATATAAGGAAGCGTCCACCAGCAGAGTCCACCAGATGAGCTGCGAAACTTATTTGACCAAAATAAACTTTTGGCCAGTTGACAAATTGAATTACTCCTTTGCCTTCACCATTCAAATTTAAATAGAGTTTGCAAAGAATATCAGAATATTTATTTTCAGAAAAACACACTGTAATCACTAAATACATAAAATATTATACTAAAGTCAGTTAGTCTCCATGCCTGTCTGCACTGATCTGTTTGTTCAGTTTTATTAGCAGCTAAATATAAGCCCAATGTTTGTGTAAACACCACATTTTCCCCTCCGTGTTATGATGTTGTTTACTCATCAAAAGCATATCTGGAGTTGTGTTTTGTTCATTCACATTTAACACACAAACCCTGCATATTTAGGCTGAGTTCTTCTGTCAAACAGAAACTACCATTTCCCACCTCATATAGTCATATAGTAATACAGGAAGTGCCACTGTGTATTAAAACTCCATACACTTTAACTAAAATCATTTAGATCATTTCACCACAGGGATTTGCCTCAAATAAATTAAATAAATAAATAAAAATAAATAAATTTGCCACTCTCTACTGAACTAAACGTTACAGGTAGCTGTTAACTTGAAAACTACCGCTTCATAACATCACAATGTAGAACAGACCATTTTGAGCTTTGGAGATGTAGACAGACTAATAAAACACAACTCTGGGTATATTTTTGATAAGGTAACAGCATTATAATATGGCTTACAACTCACAGGAATTAAGTTTTTGTAATGTAGGAACTTTGAAGAATGAAACTCATGTATAGCATATTACATGTTTGTCCACATAGGTGTTGCCGTAGTAATATAGAATATCAAACTTCAATGCTTTATCGACTCTGACTCATATTGGAGAATCACAGTGAGCAGATACCTTATACTTCAGATAGACATGTTAAATGGACATGGAAGTTCATGTGGAGTTTTTTTTTTTGTTTGTTTGTGTGCACTCAGTGACTCAGGGAACTGATACCAAATGAATAAAATCGAAAGTGTCAAGTTAGGTGGATGGATCTGCTCTAGTTGTAGCCAGACCTGAGCAGGTCTCCAGGCAGTTCACTTCAAACCTGATTGGCCTCTGACTTGTTGTTTTAAGTGTAGTACTATAGTGAGGTCATGGTGGCACTGCAGTCATCTGGGGCCATGTGATAAGGGACTAGACTGAGTACTCTTGAGCAGTAAGCGTGAGGGGGAAACAAAACAAAAACCTAGGCCTACTACATGATGAGTAACAATATTTTAATGTCTTCTTTTTAAAATGACCCAAACTAGAGACATTGGCCGAAATCGAGGGTAAATGTACTTAGAGTATCGATCCTTCACAAATAGTTTTTTCTTTGCTCACTGACAAATGTCTCAAAACATTTTCAGACCAAACTTTGTAATTTGTGTCTGTTAAATGTTATGAAAACTTTTTTGGCACCTCATTAGCTTCAACTTAACTTTATTGGTAGAGTAATTAAAACATGAGTTTGATTTGTTTGCACTTGGACTAAAAACTAAAACAATACACCTTACTACACTGAGATTTATCAAATTACAATTATAATTTTCTGCTCTAATCAATTGCACATATTATGAAATCAAGATAATGAACATCAGCTCCCAAGGGTGTTCTATGTGCACGCACATGTTTAGTGGAAAAGTTGCTCATGGATTGCACCATTCTCTCAACAATTTGTCTCTCCCATAAACTGTATACATAAATGAACATAAGCTAACTCACCCACGAGCCACTGAGTTCCAAATACTAAGTGAATATGGGGGCACTTTGGGCTCCATCCACTCTGGCTCCAGTTGACTTTACACTGGGTGACATCGCACTCCCTTGGTCCACTTTATACAGTCTAAAGTCTCATTTTCGCACTAAGCAAATAATTGTACAAATATTCTTGATTTCAGTTATAATTTAGATGATTGTGGGTTTTTTTTTCATAATTGAGCTGGTCTAATGCACCCTGTTTGAACCCAACATTCTGTATGTTATGCTTCTAAACCAACCACTCCCTCATTCCTCAAGCACTTTCTAGTAAACAAGGCTTCAAACTGATCTTGCTTGTTTGGGTCTACGTCTTTTGCTCCTAGAATATCTAAATACATTAAAGTGTAAACAATAGGTAAGAATACTAATTTCACTAAAACATAGTTAACATTACATTTAAGATTTTTTTAGATTTTTAGTCTTGCCTAGTTTTATTTATTTATTTATTTTTTTACTTTCTGGTTAGACATGGGTAGCAGACATGACATGCGTAGAGTTAATTCCAGGTGTGTTATCTAGTAACTGTAATGTTAACAAGTACCAAAATGAAACTAAATTGCACAATAATTATGATTTGTAAAATAAAAATAAAAGATGGCAACAATATTTAAACTGTCAGAAAAAGTCATCCTTATCTGTAAGTTACCCGTGCATTTTGGATGAAGTTTTAATTGTTGATGACCCAGGTTGAGGTATTCCATTTTAGAACTCACTTCTCTTTCCTGTATTTTCCAACTTTTTGTTTTCTGCTTTCATCATGAATTGCCTCTTAACTTACCGAGAATGTATAGTGAAAATTTACCTCTGCAACTATCCCACCATACCAGGTTATAATTGATTGAAAAAGATATTAATATGTTAAATGCACTTTAAAGGTCTGATGTTATGTTAAATTGTCTCTTGTGAGCTTTAAGCCATGTTAGAGTGTTGTTAGCTCCTCAAAAAAACACCTTGAGTTGTGTTTTGTTTCATTCCCAGATGTTTGAGTAACCCTTTATTTTTATTCTGTGTAAAACTCCAAGGCTAAAAATGCTCTGTTCCAATTATAATGTCATGAAATAATAGTTTAGAAGTTAACAGCTCCTTTTACCTTTAGTTCAGGAGAGATTGTCAACTCTAGCTCTGAAATCATTCAAAGGTGTATGGAGTTGAAAAACACAGTGAGCACTTCCTGTATTACCACATGACAATTCCACATTCAGCCTAAATATGCAGGATTTGGGTGTTAAATATGTGTGAATGAAACACAACACAAATCCAGGTCTATTTATGATGAGAGAACAACATTATAACAGATTAAAAAAAACAAAACAGAGTAACATGAACTCTTTAAGCTTTACAGGAAACCACACTCCTTTGGTCATATACAATTGCTATGAATACACCTAATAGTTAATGATTACACCCATAAGCCCCTGTGGTTCTGTGCCAGCTGTTCGTCCCATTGTCCATCAGTGGCATGTGTTGTTTACCTGGACTCTTATCTGCTCTCTCCACAGGAAACTGCCAGCTCAGTGTACCTGGTGATGGAGGTAAGCCCACTGGAGCCTCTGCCTTTGTTTGCACTGGCTTGTATTGTCCCAGCTTTTGTAGGCAGCTTTGACAGGCCCGGGCTAAAATTAGCACCGGCTCCAAGCACCAGGAGCCGCAATGGCCTCCAGTCATACGGGGTTTAGGTCTGCTTAAATTTGACCCGTTACAAGTGAACAGAAAGTGTTTGTATTAGGTTAACTTGGATTACGTAAACTTCTTTAAATTAATTTGTTTCTGTTTTGAATTTGTTAGTCCTATTGATTGTTTTCAGATTTTCGAAGGATGGTGTCGCAGTCAGTCCCTTTTGATTGCATGAGTTTCATATAATATCAGTAAAATTTCATAACTTCTGTATTTAAAGTTACCATCTGTAAGTTTGATTTATTTTACGAGTAGATGGCAGATGTGAAACCTGTCCCCTCCCCTCACCTGGCTTGACAATAAAACAGGGGCGGGTCAGCCAATCTAATTACCAATGGTAGCTTTAAAGACTTAATAACTGATTAATTAAGAAAGATTCAGGCTTAGTGAATGCTTAATTAATGGATTAGGAGTTATGGCATTAAGTAATTACTAGGCCTGAATTCATGATAAACTCTTTATTCATTCATTCATTAAGGGTTGTTTTGGTGTAGTTATTATAAAGTGGTACCAAAACATCCTAAAGGCAAATCCACAAAGATTAAATGTGATTTATATAAAGATTATATAATATTAAATATTATACCGTATTTTCCGGACTATAAGTCACTCCTGAGTATAAGTCACACCAGCCAAAAAATGTGCAATGAAGAAGAAAAAAACATAAGTCACACCGGACTATAAGTTGCACTTTTTGGCTAAATGTTTTTTATAAAATCAGAGACCAAGAACCGACATTATCATCATCATCATCATCATCTTGAAAGGCAAGTTATAGTAATAACAACAGAATAGAGAACAACAGGCTGAACAGGCGTCTGGTACGTTAACATATTAACAGTTATTCAGGTAATTATAGCATAAATAACATAAGTTTACCAAACTCTCGACGATCTCACTCCAAATCACTAAATCCATTGAATTCTTCATCCTCGGTGTCACTTCTGCGCGACCTCCGGAGATAATCCATAGATCCATGATGTAAATAGAGCTGTTGTTAGACTCAGCATCAGTTCCAGTTAGAATGATTCCGGCCTTTCTGAATCCCAACAGGATGGTTTCGATTGTCATTGAAGTTCAGGCTTTGTCGATTCATCCAATGACTTCCAGGAAACGTTGCTGTGAAGTTGTGTTCTCCATCCCCGCTTTCCGCAAGTCCCTCACAAGTTTCTCGTTCACTCCAAACTTTCTTTCTGCTGCCTGATTACTGTTTTTGGCTGCATATTTCACTATTTGCAGCAGGACAGTGGCTTTTTCTACAGGAGACATGCGCAGTAGAGAGCGAAGTGACAGAGGTACAGGAGTAATAGTAGTACTAGATATGGACACACAAGCCTAAAGTGCCCTCTCGCAGCTATCAGTCTGAACATTTTAATATATAAGGCGCACCGGAGTATAACTCACAGAACCCCCCAAACCATGAAAAAAGTGTGACTTATAGTCCGAAAAATACGGTAATAAAAATCTGTATATAATGTGTTTGATCTGCTCCTAATAGCATAAAATATTAGGCTATAGGCTTTTAGAAAGTTGTGTGTAACCTGATATCGTGGAATATACTAACTGTCTATGTGTGTTTTTTTTTTCCTCGTAACAGTACTGCAATGGTGGGGACCTTGCTGACTACTTGCACTGTAAGTGAACTTCCTGAAGTAGACAGTTGAGCCATTTCATATCCCCCAAAGAACTGGTATTGAATTATAATAAAAAATACATTAAACGATGTACTTTAGGATAAATTATCTGCCTCTAGACTAGTATGGAAAGCAATAAAATATTTAGATTAGAATAGTAGCACCAGCACTCTGAACAACACCAAATTACACCATGTTCAACAGTAAAGAAAGCATATACCCAACCAGGGAATTGGCTCAGAGGATTATATGCAAGTTTAGGATGGGGTTCGGACTTGCTTCAGTGGCGAATGCTCTCACAAACCAAGCAGTTTCAATACATGCTGTCATTTGCAATATTACAAACCTTCTCACTACTCTGGAAAACTAAAAGCTGACGGCACAAAAAGCAGTTTAGCCGTAGTTGTGCTTGCAGTCAAAGGGAAAAAAAGCTCAATACAAACATGGCTTAAAGGACTTTGTGAAATGTCCTGCTTTTGTTTCTTATTTTGAAGCTAACGTGAAGTCATGCAAAGGGTGAAGCTAAACAAAACAAGGGTGTTCAATGTGACCAGAGGACCGAGAGCATAAACACAGGCTGGACGCAGACAGGGCACCAGGAAGCAGCTCTTTATCTCAGCTCTCAGACACAAACAGCTCTGCTACTTCAACTGATACATCTTTATAATAGAGTATAAACTATGGCTGAGGACATGTTACGTAATAAAACTCCCCTTTATTATGCTACCAGTATTATTTTATTGTCTTGTTTTGTTGGCATTTTACATATGTAGCAATGGTGCTGCTGATTATGTCTTTTAATGGCTGTGTGCTAGAAACTTGTGGCAGTTTAAAGGAAATTGTGATTCAATTATTGTTCCAACCAATTCAAAATATATGTAATCGAAGTAGTGTTGCCAAGTGTATCAAAAATCATATACTAAGTACTAATATCTGAACAAGACATTCATTTGAGTCAGTATCAGTACACATTAAAAGGACAAAATCTGAGCTTACCTGGACAGTTTTAGTATGATTTTGAGCTTATCAGGACAAATATAATATAAGATAATGAGTATTTTGTGTATGAAAATTACATTATATTGTAGAAAAAATAGCATTTTATCATCATTGTAATATCATAATGAAATATTGAGTGAATTTAGTATTGAAACAAAGCTAAATAAAAGAAAAATTTAAATTCTGTCTCTTAGGGCCGGGTGATATGAATAAAAAAAAAAAAAAAGACTTTTTCATTATGTGATATACTGTCAATACATACATTTCAAGCTTGATTTCGATGCTTGAAGACCCTTACACTGGTTCTGATAAAACTAAAGAGGAAACCATTCAGAAAAGGTCAAATTTTATCCAGTTATACAATATGTTTTTTTTTTTTCTTCAGTATTGATACGTTTGACAACCCAAATAATTCTGATTCCGCTTTTTCCCTTAACTGACCTCTTTTGGCCTACCTCTGTTTTCAGTGCATAAACAATCGACCTTGTGACTCACACAACATTTCAACAGTTCAACACAGAGTTCATGTCAGGTGATGTCAGTAGCAGCGTGTAATATTGCCCTCTGTGTGCAGCCAAAGGCACCCTGAGCGAGGACACCATCCGAGTGTTTCTGCAGCAGATCGCCGGGGCCATGAGGGTGCTCCAGGCCAAAGGGATCATCCACCGAGACCTGAAGCCCCAGAACATTCTACTGTCCTACCCACCAGGCCGCAAGTCACACTCCAACAACACCTGCATCAAGATTGGTATGTGTTCATAATAACACAACTGCACCACTGAGATAAGAGGAACTGCCTGACTTAAAATAACAGTCTCCTCACATGCTTGCTTCCTTCTTTGCATTCTTGCATCCTTGCGTCCTTGTGTCCTTACATCCTTCTTGGCGTCCTTGCTTCCTTGTGTTCTTGCTTCTTCATGTCCTTGCTTCCTTCCTTGCATTTTTGCTTTCTTCCTTGTGTCCTTTCTTCCTTGCATCCCTGCTTTCTTTCTGGCATCCTTGTATTATTACTCCCTTCCTTGCATCCTTACTTCCATGTATCTTTGCTTCCTTGTGTCCTTTCTCCCTTGTATCCTTGCTTCCTTCTTTCTTTGTGTCCTTTCTTTCTTGTATCCGTTCATCTTTGCTTCCTTATTTGCTTGTGTTCTTGCATCTTTCGTTCCTTCCTTGCTTCCTTATAGCCTTTCATCCTTCCTTCCTTCCTTCCTTGTAGCCTTGCATCCTTCTTTCCTTCCCTCCTTGTAACTTTGCTTCCTTGTATCCTTGCTTCCATCTTTCCTTGTGTCCTTTCTTCCTTGTATCCTTTCATCTTTACTATCTTATTTCCTTGTGTCTTTGCATCCTCCGTTCCTTCCTTGCATTCTTGCTTCTTTGTAGCCTTGCATCCTTCGTTCCTTCCTTCCTTATAGACTTGCATCCTTCCTTCCCTCCTTGTAACCTTGCTTCCTTCCTTCTTTCCTTGTGTCCTTGCTTCCTTATGTCATTGCTTTCTTCCTTCATTACTTGCATCCTTCTTCGTCACACATTTTTGATCTTAGAGCAGTTTGATCAATTACAAATACTTCCTTTTTGTTTTGGGTGATTTAACGTGAAATCTACAAATTGTAGAAAAAAGTCTGCCTGGCCTGATCAAACTGTATTTTTTTTTAAATGTAGGTATAGCTTAGATAAAGGGCTGGGCCATGTGCCTATATATTTGTGATATTTTGTTCATATTGTGATTCAAATCTTCTCTGTATAATACAGCTCTATGCCCAAACAGACCACACATTCTCCCGCCCCATGCTGTTGTGATTGACAGGTGGATTTAACCAATCACAAAAGATGGATTTAACCAATCACAAATCCATATAACTTTTGAGAAGCTACAGATGAACAATTCAAAGTAAGCGTGAATCATGTAAAAATCGATTGTGATAAGGCTCTAAGAATCAAGCCTGATCGGAATCTTTCACCATGTCCTCCACTCCCATGATTGTGTATGATTGTTCATATACCTAAATGTGAGCGTGCAGATACCTTTTATACTTTTATTACGTCTGATTTATATTATTATATTTATGGCAGCCCATAACTGGAACATTACAACACCTTATGAACCTTATGCCCCGGCATCTCAAGTAACACCACATTGTCTTATAAACAACACCCAAAGCTGTATAAAAAGACATGATGAGTAACGTTAATGGACCTTATGTAATCTATGGAAATAGATCAGATAGAACAGTTGAACAGATGTTAGAGCTTGTGCAACTTTGGTATTTTACTTTTGAGTTGCCACTTGTGCAACCTTGGTATTTTACTTTTGACCTGCCTCTTTTATAACTCTCAAAATAAAAAAATCAAACACACACACACGCCAACCCACAACTGCGTGCATTAACTAGATGGTCAGATAGATGGCAGATTTGTTGTTTTGACATGGATTGACCCTTTTATCTAATGTGCGCGTTATCAAAGTCAAATATGTGTGTGCCCTGGTCGCAAAACATACTGTGTAAATTCTATTCAAAATTCAGCACATCTGTTTAAAAATCCCCATATTGCGCTATTTTCTGATCTTTGAAATAATGTTGTTTCCTTATCAAAAATATCTGGAGTTGTGTTTTGTTTCATTCATACATCTTTAACACACAAACTCTGCATATTTAGGCTATGTTGTTCTCTCAAACACTCTGTTCCACCTTGTTATGTTATATAGGAAGTGCTCCACTGTGTTTTTAAACTCCATACACCTTCACAAAAATCATTTGGATAAATTCTGCTTTGGAGATATTCACAGTGTAAAAATGCAAACATGCAAATAATTATTCAAACATGTGTGAATGAAACAAAACACAACTCCAGTTATGTTTTTGAGAAGGTAACCACATTCTAACATGGCGTAAAGTTCACTAAAGTCAATTTTGTGTAACCAATCCCAGAAAAGTGCACACTAAGCTCAATTTTGTCACAGTACAGATAAATAAAATGACTGAAATTTTATGTAGCCCAGAATTGTCACCATAACAAAGGAAACACCAGAGCCATGCACAGTCTAAGGGTATTTGCATGTTTTGAAAGTCTGCTAATCCGAAAGCCGTGTAATTCTTTTTCTCTGGAGAGAATGAACTGCCCTGTGGGAGAGAGCAGTCTGGGACTTTCAGCCCCACTCACACACAATGTTCTAATTCCCAGGAGTTTCAAGGCAAATACTTAACTGTACAGTTTAAGGGACACTGAGCATGCCAAGTTCAGTCAAGTCCACTGTCCTCAGTTACTTGCATTAATTACAGATAATCAAGTACATTTTGTATATTTAGCTGCCAATGAAAGCAAATTTGACAGCTAAAAAACATCTTATGCTATTTCCCACAACCACATAATTCATAGTTAATTCATCTTATGGTGGATTACTGTATACAGTCATTTTGAAGAAGTATTTATTAAAGATATGGAAGTAATCAAACACCATACCACAGTTTTAGCTCTTGTCCTAGACCTTATCCATGGTTTATAGAATGATGAAAAGTTAGGATCATTGCCATAGCGATTAACAATTTAAGACACAATATAATATTTTCTGA